TTTGTAAGTGGCGTTGGGCTGGCACTTGTTGGCTGTAATACCTGGCCGGTTGATGACTTTGTTAATTCAAAGCCGGACTCATCCTCGAGCCTTTGTTCTAAAAAAAAAAGTTTTCAGCCGGATGAAACGAAGTGTTTCTTGACATCGATTTGCACATGTAGTACAACACAATTGCTAGGACGCTGGCATCCGAAGACGAGGCAATCCGTACACGAGCTCGAAAACAAAACAAAAGAAAACTAGGTAGACTCCTACAGTCCTACTAGTATATATCCAGAGCCGGAGGTGCCTGGCGCGCACGCCCCGAACCAAAATCCCAGCCACGGCTTTGCCTCCGATCACATGGACGTCGCCCGAGGGAACATGGAGAAGGCGACGGAGACGGCAGCCGCCGGCGCGGCCACGCTCCCGGAAGACGTGGTCCGCGAGATCCTGGCGCGCGTTGCCGGCGCCGCCGCCCTCTTCCGCTGCGCCGCGGCGTGCAAGCGATGGCGGGGCCTCGTGTCCGACCCCGCCTTCCTCCGCGGCCGCTGGCCGGACCCGCCCGCCCTGGCCGGCTTCTTCGTTCAGGTGCGAAGCTACAGGGCGCGAGGGCCGCCCGTCGCCTCCGCCCCGGCACTCGGCCGCGCGTGCCGCTCCCTGCGCTCCTTGGTCTCGTGCGCCGCGGGCCTGCTGGACGACGCGGTGCCGCTCGTGTCGGGCGACGGCCTCCTCCTCGTGGGCCTCGTCGACGCGCCGACCGAGGTCCCCGGAGGCGTCCGGCTGGCCGTGTGCAACCTGATCGCCGGCACGTGCGACGAGCTGCCCCCGCTGCGATACCGCTTCAACTTCCGCATCAACAGCTGCGCCGTGGTGACCTTCGCCGCCGACGGCCGCCGCCCGGCCTTCTTCAAGGTGCTGCTCCTCTCGTCTTAAACCGCGACACGTTCAACTACGACCTCTGCACTTACTCGTCCACCGAGCCGGGCTGGGGCACGCCGATAGTGTGCTTCAGCAGCGTCATGCTCGCCGTGGTGGACGGCGGCGCCGTCGTGCGCCGGGGCACGGCGCACTGGCTCGTCAGAGACTGGTGGAACGGGCTCTACACCCTAGAAATGAGCGACGACGCCTCCTTGGTGCGAACCTCGATTCCACCACCAAGCGACCATCATGGCCATGACCACACACACTGCCTCGGCGTCGCCATTGACGACGGGGCGCTGTCGCTGCATCGCCTGTGCAAAGATTGCCTCCGGCTAGAGGTCTGGACACGTCGAGACGCGGAAAGGAGCGGCGATGCAGAGTGGCTGCAAACGAAGGCGGTCAAGCTGAAATGGCCAGAGAAGAACAAGACTCACAAAGCAGAATGCTTGCGCCTGCACGAGAGAGGCGGCGCATTGTTCGTCGAGGACACCTACGAGCGCATGTACGCTGTCGATCTCGAGACCGGGGAGATGGATGAGGTGACAGGCCTGCTTTGGCATCTCCGGTCGCAGACATCGGCGCCCTTCGACATGGACTGGCCGGCTTTCTTCGAGTCTCGCTTGGGGGGCAACAGACTGACTAAACCGACTGAGAACCCATGAGAATTCCTACATTCCTAGTGTTTGATTTTGAACTTATCATTTGAAACTTTCTCTTGTTGTTCGTGAAGGCATGACAAGCCAGCAGGTAAGATCTTCAGGCACCTACGAGTCATTAACGGTGAACATAAAAAAATTAACGTGATGAACACAGTTTGCAATTTGCAGTTGTGATTATTGTTGACATCCATTTGCTTCCGTCATCCTATCGTAGCTTTTTATTCTGTTCTTTTTCGCAAGGAACCCTACGGTGTTCATCGGCACTACTCGTATCTACACGTTTTCATCTCACAATTAGGATGAACTATTCTCACGAAACTATCCAGAGAATAGCTAATGTCTCCTAGCTCCATCTGGTCCAAAAAGACCCCAAAAAAACCAAGGGCAGAACCGGTGGCTTCATGACAACCAGAGTGGTACTATGCTGAATGGCACTGCTTGTGTTGCCTTGCATGTGGTTATCATCTTGCAGCCTTGCAGGGCCCTGATGAATAAGCAACAAGTGTCAGCATAAATACGACCATCTGTTTGGCCCAATTTTGGAGACTCCCAAATCGCTCGCGGCGGTGCCCTTCGAGATTGATAGGCCGGCTTTCTTCGAGTCTCGTTTGGGGAGAAACAGACATAACCGAGTGCGAACCCATGAGAATTCCTATACTCCTAGTGTTTGATTTGAGCTTGACATTTGTAGCTTACCACTGTTGTTCGTAAAGGCATGACAAGAGTAAGAGCTACAGGAACCTTAAAATTCTTGACAATGGACAGAAAAACATGGACACCAGTTTGCAGTTTACAGTTGTGACTCTTCTTGACAACCTTCTGCAATTTGCACCCTTCGCTCTATCATAGCTCTTCTTTTTTTCCTTTTATGCTAGGAACCCAACAGTGTTGATCGGGTATCGTATTCATATATCTATACCTTTTATCTCACAGATTAGTTGGTGTGTGCTAGCTCCATCTCATCTAAAAAGGCCCCCAAAAAATACAAGGGCGGAACCAGTGGTTTCATGAAAACCAGAGTGGTTTTATGCTGGATGCAACTGCTTGCCTTGACTGTGGTTATCTTCTTGCAGATCCTGATGAATAAGCAACAAGTGTCAGCATAAACATGACCATCTGTTTGAGAAAGGGGTCTACGAACTAGGGCTGAAGTTGGACGAGGAATTCAAATACACAGTGCCATATGAGCATTGAATTAATGGGTGTCATTTTATACAACAGCTATGTAAAATATTGTCTAAAAAACTGTAGGTATCAAGGACCACCTAATCACACCTAGATACCAGAATACACGTACCAATTATAAAAAATGCCCCAAGGCTACTACATTATATAGCAAGATAAACCACTATGCAATGCTGATACATCAGCAAGAAAATGAACTTCTGCAAATAAGAGAGAATTTAGCAAGGAAATAGCACTGTAGGAGTGTGGAAAAGCATAAAAGGAAATCTGAATAGCACACTGAACTTACAATCTTACTGTCAGATTGAAATTGCTGAATTGGGAAATGATGCTTAGGAGTAGTCACAACAAAGATGTGCAACATCCTGGATTCCGCCACGTCTGCTGTACCATTCTTCTCATTCAAGTCTGGTGCTAGTTTCTGTCAAATGAATAAAAAATTAGCAAAGCTAGCGGCAGATTGACCAGTCATGCAATTATACGGTGTTGACTGATAACATTAGAAGGCACAACATAGCCAGAAGATTTCATTTAATGGAATGGACGGAAGAATTCTCAACAAGGAAAATATATTTTTGCTAGATTTATTATGTACTTCTTCCGGTCCTTTTTACTCCGAATATAAGATTTGTCTGAAGTCAAACTTTGTAAAGTTTGACCATATTTGTATGCAAAAATATCAACATCTACAATAATAAAGTATAATATGAGAATTAAATTCACGACGGACCTAATGATATTGATTTTGTATTGTGAATGTGGATTTTTTTTTTCAATAAAGTTGGTCAAACTTTCTGAAGTTTGATTTCAGACAAATCTATATGCGAAATAAAAAGGACCGGAGGGAGTATAGCATTTATCTGCAATTCCATTTGGTTCAAGAATGAACTGAACCATCAGTACATAACTACAAACATCTCACATAGTACTCCCTCCATTCCAAAATACAGTGCGCCCGCGCTTCCCGAGGTCCAACTTTGACCATAAATTTAACCAACGAGACCAACTGCGGTGGGAGAAAAAATTATATAATTGAAAACTTCTTTCGAATACGAATTCACTGATATAATTTTTGCTCCCGCCGCAATCGGTCTTGGTAGTTAAATTTGCGGTCAAAGTTGAAGCACGTGAATAGAGGAAGCACTACATTATGGAATGGAGGGAGTATTCAACAATGTCAGTCAGAAATAACAATATCGAACCTGCATGTTCTCATTTCATTACAACGGAAAATCTCACCTACATATGTCTTATCTCAGAGAATGAACCACATTTCTAATGTTCAACCGCAAATTTTGAAATAAGATACATTCTTCGAAGCAATATTGGTTGGGCTAAAAGATTTAATAATCTCACACAATCTTACCGGTGAAGTTGAATAAACTATAGGAGATTAGGAGACGGTGCAAAGTAGCAGCTTGAGGAGTTGCAATTACTTTTCCAAGTTGCAGTCCTCTAACGTACTGGTGTTAGTGTAGGGATCAACTAAGAGTATTTCATTTATGCATACAGTAAAGATGAAGTAGCAGCAAGGAGGTATTAGTAAAAGTGTATGCCTAAGTCACAGCATCCAAGCTCAAGCAAGTTATGATGTAGTACTACCTCGGAGGTAGTATTAGTAAAGCAATATGCATAAGTACCACAATCTTTGTCAACTCGATGCAATAATCAATGCTCAAGCAAGCAAAGAGGTATTAGTAAGAATGTGTGCTTAAGCACCATAAATGTTTGTTAACTTACAGCAGTGAACAAAGCTCAAGCTGACTTTTCCGAGCCTGCTACCTCCTGTCATGGAAGTGCTTGAAGAGAGGAGTTGTCCCCTGCATGAAAGAAAATGTGTGAAAATCATGAGTTGTTCACCATAACTAAAAGATTAGAACAAGTACCAAGTAAATAAGGTATCGCTAATTATTTCATGCTAACCTGTTCAACATTCTTGATCTATTCTTCCATGCAACTAAACCATCCAGCGGTTGGAGAACTTCAAAGCAGTGTTTGGTTTACTTTAACTTGGTGTAAACATCTCCCATGAAAATGCAAAGAGATATTGAGTTTTCATGGTCATATGGTGTGCATCATGTGAAAGTTCATAGACGTGATGTGGATTTGAGGAGTGAATGATGCATGAACTCATAACCCAACTCAGAGTTTGCTTCCCTTGCATGCTTTTCTGATATGCCAACATGATGATTCAGTTTGTTGCATGAGAAATAACAGGGCCAGTAAGTAGTTTTCATACTGCACAATAACTTGTCAAGGAGGAATGCCGAGTGCTGGTGCAACACCAGATCTTATTAACTCGGTATTAACAAATCTTGTATCCTCTATCTTAAGGCTATTGTCAATGAAGACAACTAGGACGAATTGGTCAGATCCAGTGCTGTGCACGTGTAACAAGCTAAACAGCTTGTGAGATCCACCTCTGTTTCCCTGATATTGTGTATCTAGAAAAACATTGCTTTCACTGCCCTTCTCATTTCTTCCACTCCACATGATAGTGTTCATCCTAAGTTCCTGTCCAACCACATGGATGGGAAGTGGAGTTCCGTAGTACTGAGAAGCAGCACCAATAGAAATATTCCGCACATCAGCATAAGCTTCATGATTTTTCTCTTCTTCCAACGTAAACAGCCCAATTTCTTCAAGGTCGCTACTTCCATCCCTTTGTTCTGAATAGCAGCTATCTTCAGTATTCTGTTCTGGACCATTTCCTGCCAAAATTTCTTGAGAGTCTCTTCTTGGTTCCATCAAACCGTCAGATCTTTTATACATTCCTACAAGTGCATTTGCGACATATACATCAGAGATCAAACCCATCTTTACAATAGAAGCATGCACTTGTCTCCCTAAATCAATAGCACATAGGTCAGCACATCCACGCAAAATCCTTGCAAAGGTAACACGGTTTGCACGCAATCCACTGTGCTGCATTTTGGAGAAAAGATGAAGAGCTTCATCACTACATCTGTTCTGAATGTAGCCCAACATTAGCATTGCATATGAATTTATGCTCCAACTTCTCATGCTATGGAAAAAACTACAAGCACTGGCAATGCATCCACACTTGACATAAAGGTCTATGATAGCATTTCCAACAATGGCATCCATGTATTCAGAACCAATCTTTACAAGATAGCCATGAACCTGTTCACCAGCCTCCTTTGCTCCTATATCAGTGCATGCACTGAGAACAGTTGAGCAAGTGAAATGATCAGGGTGCAGACCAGAACGATATTCACTGCAGAAGAGCAGAAGAGCTTTCTCTGGCATTAAATTCCAGCAATACCCCGAGAGCATCGCATTAGTTAAAACTAGATTTCTCGGAAAAGGTGTGTGGGAGAAAAGCTCAGCAGCACACTTAATATGATGGCATTTTGCATACATGTTCACTAGGGAAGCACTAACAAAGTCAGCAACCAATATCCCAACTTTAAGAGCCAGAGCGTGAATCTGCTCTCCCTTATCCATGTCTTCAAGTCCTGTGCATGAATTTATGATAGTAGCAACACAGTGCTGATCTAATAGTGCTCCAGAATTTCTTAACCCTCTAAAATAACCAAATGCTTTTTCAAATTGGAGGTTCTTGACACAGCCTGCCATGACTGCAGCCCATGATACAACATCTCGTGACTCTGAAGTTTTGAAGATTGCTTCAGCATGCATCAATGATCCTATTTCAGAGTATACCGATATAAGAGCATTACATACATTAATATAACTGAAGCATCCAGATTTCAATGTATAAGCATGCACTTGCTGAACTTCCTCTTTGATATGACAAACATCTAGAACGGTGACCAGATCCCCTTCCCTTAAACTGAGGCCTGAAGAAAGAAGATGTTCAACTAGCTTCACTGCTTCATCCTGGCAACCATTTGAGTGATAGCCTGATATAGCTAAAGAATACAAAGATGCATCACGCCTTCTAGCTGCAGCAACAAGCTGTCCAATGTACTGCGTATCACCTACCCTCCCGGCTGACTTAACCAGCTCAGACAGAACATAACAATCTCTTCCCAACCCCACTTTAAGTGCATAAACATGAACATTCCTGCAAAGCTCAAACATTCTAAGAAAAGCAGCGACGCCAGCAGCTAACCTCAATGTCACCACATCCATTGCAATGCCAACTCTATGCATATCCTTGCAAAGCTCAGCAGCCTCCACAACACAGCCATTCTCAATAAAACCTGAAATCACTGCATTCCAAGCAACTGAGCTCTTCACCGGAATTTCACTGAAGAACCTAAAAGAGCAGCCTACATTGCCACATTTCGCATACATATCGACGAATCCAACCTCCACAAACCTATCAACACCCAATCCAGACTTGATCACCAATCCATGTACCATGAGCCCCAGCTCCATGACACCAGACCTGGAACATGCATTCAGCGTCGCCGAGATGACAAACCGGTTTGGCTTCACCTCAGAGGACAACAGCCCCTTGAACACCCCGATGGCATCAACCCAGAGGCCCCGGCTGGCGTGCGCGGAGATGACGGTGCACCAGGACGCCACGTCCCTGTGAGGCATTTCGTCGAACAGGTGGCGGCAGGCCGCCAGGGAGCCGCCCTTGGCGTAGGTGTCGATCAGGACGTTGGAGACGAGCGTGTCGGGGGCGAAGCCACGCTTGAGGACGTGCCCGTGGACGGCGCCGGCGCCGGCGGCGAGCGCGTCGAGCGCGCAGCGGCGCAGGAGGCGCACGTAGAGGCGCGCCTCGGAGGACGGCAAGAGGAGCTCGATGGGCCCCACGATCTCCAGCACGGCCGAGACGGTGCCATGCGCCCCGCCGCCCCGCGCAATGGAGCCGGTGGCAGCCGCGGCGGCGGCGGCGAAGGAGGAGGAGAGGAGCCTAGATGGGGTCGGCTTGCAGGAGAGCGCGGAGTGGAGGAGTAGAATGGGGAGAGACCGTAACATAAGCGAGGTGGCGGGTGGGTCGCCGGGGATGGGCGACGGCGGCGGCGGCGGCGGTGGAGAAGGACGGGATCTCCACGCGCATAGTCGCCGGCAAAATGGGCTTGGAGGCGATGGCCCAGATTGGTAAGAGAGTGATGGGCTCCTCCAGCCACTGGCTGTAAGAACTGTTGGAGCTTCTCCTGACCGTCTGATCAGTGTTTGGAGGGCCTGGCTTGAAACGGATGAATCTGGTGCTACATACCTCCGTATTTAGACAAATCTAAGACACTCAAGAGGGAAAAAGAAGGCCCTCAAACGATCTTACTACTCCCTCCGTTCCAAATTACTTGTCTTGGATTTGTCTAGATACGGATGTATCTAAACTCATTTTAGTGCTAGATACCAGACAAATTTAAAACAAGTAATTCGGAACGGAGAGAATAGTTTACTAGGAGAACGTTCATGCGATTGCTACGGGCTACAATAGACATAATTGCATCAAACAAATAATTAGGTTGATCTTCAAAGTCGAAGTTCATTTCTTTCTCATCCCCGCTCTCCGCCTTGCTCTCCTTCCCTTGCCGAAAATGTGGTTGTCCGAACTATCTGTAATATTATCTTCAGTACATGGGCCCAAAAAAACCACCCCATGACGCACCATTTACCTTTCCTGTCGGACCCTTCCCTTCTTGCTCGGTTTCCCTCCATAGCGGGACATTTCTCGCTGGGGCCCTCTCCTTTTAAAACCGGGCGACGCCAACATCACCTTCGCCGTGGCGCCCTCTCTTATTCACACCGTACTTCTTCACGGACCACCAAGGAGGAATCCCCCGCCAACCGCCCCGCTCTTCGCCCTGATCCCCTCCCATCGTGTTGGTGTCGATATGCCACCCCTATCAACAGGTAGGAGGTGTGTGCCGCCCGTGATGCCTCACGAGCCAAGAAGGCAAATCCAATGTCCCCTGAGTCCTAAGCCATTACCATGTTGTAACATACAGTTGAATGTCGTGCATTCCACAAAAATATGATTTTCGTTGTTGGACATGCAACTGATACGCCACTCTGTCCGTCTTTTTTGCGGTAAAATTTCAATCTATTCATCATCAATCATGATAGCACAAAGAATACAAGAAATAATAAAAATTACATCCAGATCCGTAGAGCACATAGCGACGACTACAAGCACGGAAGCGAGCCGAAGGCGCGCCGCTGTCATCGCCCCTCCCTCACTGGAGCCGATCAAAACTTCTTGTAGTAGACAACCGGGAAATCATCGTGCTAAGGCCCTATATAGGACCAACGCACCAGAATAGCAATTCTCGTTGTTGAAGAGAAGTTTAGATCGGAAGGATTCAACCTGTAGACACATGAACACAAACAAACAAATCCCGGATCCATGTGGATCCACTGAAGATAAACGCCGACCAGATCCCGCGAGATCCGTCGAAGACAAGGCTCCACACGTCCTTCGATGATGCTGGAAGCACCACCAAAACGGGGGCTAGGCAGGGATAACCATATTTCATCTCCAAAGAGTCGTCGCTGCCTCGTCTCTCCAAGCAGGACACAAACCCTAAGAAAAAACATCCAAAAATGAAGCCCTCCCATCGGCAAAGGCCGGAATCCACCACGCCTTCATGGCCCTAAGGCCACAGGAGATGAGGCAGACCGGCGTCAGCGCTGACAGGAGGCGGAAGAAACCCTAGTGGTGGCTGGCTAGGAGCGCGTCGCCACCATGCGCGTTATTAACTCTTGAAGCAACCAAGCAATGCATTTAACCTTCTATTATAACTAAAAATTATACAACTTGATGAAAAAAATGAAACGCTCTCTCATACAATTTGTTGTAAATACATCTCTATCAAAATGCAATTTGTCACATTTTTTAAAGTAGGAAAATTATTCCGCTCAGACAGACATAACTAAACAGAAAAACCCCAACTCTCATCCAGATCCACATCCACGTGTCACATAATATAAGTAGAAGACCACATGTGTCCTCATAATTTTTGACGGGACAAGTGAACATCCTACATAATCTCTCGTCAATGATAGATTTAGCTAAACAAATGTACAGGAACACAATACACTTCAAGTAACCTACTACTATTCGTGGTTAATTTCCCCGTGAGTTGCAACAAGAGCATATATATTTTAATAATTCAACATTAGTTGTATCTCACATACATATTCAAAATATTCTTACACACCGGGCTACCTTGCGACTTCTTTTTACCGGTAAATCACTCCCCTTTTATTTCTTTATCTTTTTCTTCCAACAAAGAGCTAAAAACTCTTTAATAATCAAATAATTTAAGAATGTATCCATGATGCATTTGACATTAATTCCTTTGTATAAATGTTGGCTTTCCATAAATTTGGTCTTTAAAGATTGATTAGAGATCATCATGATTGATTCTTTCCCATAATGATATTACTAAATCTGGAAAATAAGAATCGTATTAAGTAGAATACCAGTGGGCTAAAACCAGCAGGGGAGGTTTAATCTGAATGGAGGCGACACTACAAACTCACGATGACGTACATGTCTGTTCCGATTTTGATAGTATGCCGAGCAAAAACCAACCTATTGGTCATAGAGAAATGAAACCGTGAAAAAGAAATCAAAAAATGAAGCATAGAGAAAAAAACGCACGCACGCGTCAAATGGGCCGGCCAACTTTGATTATAGTGGATGTTTTGGTAAGATTTGATTTGATTTGGTATAAGTAGTGGAAGACAAGAAAAGTTTGGGTTTCGTTGAGATTTCTTAAGATTTGATTTGAATGAGTTAATGTGTGACATTATTTTTGGGAACCAACTTTGATTATAGCGGATGTTTTGGTAAGATTTCATTTGATTTGATTTAGGTATAAGTAGTGTAAGACAAGGAAAGTTTGGATTTAGTTGAGATTTCTTAAGGTTTAATTTGAATGAGTTAATGTGTGATGTTATTTTTGGTAAAGTGTCGATTTAATTGAGTTAATGCACGCATCAAATGGGCCGGCCCAAATTTTATACGTTTGAGCGAAAGGCCGCCTATAAAACACTCGCGGGCGTAATATAGGGTTTGCCATTGAATTGGTGGAAGTGAGGCGAGACTAATGACACTCCACTCAGCTTTCAATCCCTTCTTTACATGCATGCACTGTACTGATGATCCAAGAAATGAAAAAAAATTGATTTACAAAGCAAGGCATTAAATTTTATCTTGATACCTATAATATGAGTTTGTGGTCTTGTATATAAAAATGAAGGAAGTGTGTAAGATGGTTAGATTTTTTTTGTGGAATCAACCCACCGGGTTCAAGTCCTATATTTGACACTCTTTAGGGTTGAGCATATGTGAGCATCCGTGTTAAAACAAAAGTCAGTATGTTCAACTGTCACTATTGGTTACATTACACGTTGTTGGTAAACTCACTATATTCAATTCCCACTATTAGTTTCATCTTTTCGCTCTTTCTTTTAGTTTTAGGATTTGTTTATTTTTCTACTACTTTTTACTTGACTTTACTTTTTTCTGAAACAAAGACATATTTGTTATAAAGATTCACAAAAGTACAAAGCACATTAAACATATGGAAATTTATTAAGTTCTCTGAAACGGTCTGATCTTGTTCATGACAGTTTAGAAATCTTCGTGCGCGTGCCCCTAAGAACCAGCGCCCCGGGCAACATTCGTTGAAGTTGAACCCCCTGAATTGATGCAATGAACATGAACCTGACACCAAATCTCATTGTCACGTACGTACGTCGAGAAATCATAACCTCGCCGCTCCAAGGAGCCGACGGGAATCTATGTCGGAATTCCATATAATTTGTCCTGACGGACAAACTTAAGAAGGATCGAAGACCATAAGACCGACTCGAAGATGAAGCGTGGCCATCCGCTCAAGCACCGCCTTTGTGAGGACTAAAACCCTAACTTATCTACTAGCCGGAGCCTTGACACCAGGATTCCACTCCCCACCGCCGGCTGCCAGAGCGACAAGCAGAGGGAATGCGGATCCACGGGCTCATAGGCAGAGATCACGAGGTGGGAGATTTTACTCTAATCGCCTTGCAAGATAGGGAAGGAAGAGTTCTATTTGAGTTGACTACCCAACAACAAAACATATGTGCAGGTTCAAAAGGTTAGTCAGCCAACTTCAAAAACTTGAAAAATAAATGCGTGGTCAGCTAAACTTTTAGCACGTCCAAATCACACCTAAGTAGATCAATAACCATAGGCTTTCCCCACCAGCAAAAACAGAAAAATGAAAATGAAAGAAAGAGGCCTGGTCAGCCAAACTTCTAGCACCTGACACCTAATTAGATCAAAAATGGTGCACAGCAAAAAAAGTGAGAAGAATCAGATGAATCACACAGCACAGAAATGGTGATCTCCACCTTGTGCACTCCTATTGGTGCTCGGCGTCAGCAGGCCTTGAACATTCCACCTCACTGACCTGATCACCACGCTTCATGCACTGATATTTCCATGCCCAATACGGCAACATGTGTACAGCAATTTACAAAGAAAAAATGTATTGTTTTTCTTCTATTTCCAGACAATAAATATGCTATGAACGACAAATCATGGACATCCCAGCTTCATATCCATGTAATTCTAGCCAGATAACTCTGTTCCTTGCTCATGTACTAGAAGGCGATCAACAAATTTTTACTAGAGAAGAAAAGATTAGAGAAGAACGGTGAAACAAAAAGAAAAAAAGATGTATGGAGAACCATCTAATACAATGGCCAATGGCGGATCAGTAGTTCTTATCTTATTGGTTTAGCAGATCAAGGGTCTGCAGCAGCACAGGCCTGAACCGGTTGCAGTCAAGCCTGACGTTCTGCTTGTCCATGAAGGTCTCCTTGATGAACTCGAACCCCTTGTGGAAAGCCAGCGGGTTCTTGAAGATCTCATGGTCCAGCGGGTACTGGTCGGTGAGGCTGCTCTCGTGCACGGCGATGCTGTACTGCTTGTACCGCAGGCCCATCTGCTCCGCCGGGTCGCCGAAATCGATCCGGCACACGCCTTCTATGCCGCCCCACGGCACGATCTGGATCAGCGTGGCGTTGTGTGGTAGGAAGACACAGTTCGTGAGCCCGGCGCCATGGACGCCCATCATCACATCCACAGAGTTCACCACCTTGGAGAACTGGGAGAGGTCGGAGCTCACATTGGCTTCTTCAACCACGACCTCGAAACCCAGCCCCTCGGCCATTGCGATGATCTCCGGGAGGTTGAGGAACATTCTTGTTCTCTGCCTCGAGATGATGAGCAGCCTCGGCTTGGCCTTGGGGATCTCGCCGAGCGCAGACACGGCCTCCCTCGGCAACTCATACGTCCTGCGCATGAATCTGTTGAAATCCACCATGGTGTAGTTGTGAGGAGCCTTGGAGGGGTCAATGGTGAACTCCATGTAAGCATGAAGGCCAACAATGGCATGCTTGGCGCAATGCACGTCAGTGTCCTTGTTGAAATCGATCAGGGGGTAGTTGGACAGCTTCTTAAACACCACATGGTACTTCCTTGTCCACCAAATAGCCATATCTGTGATGAGGAACTGGACCTCGCCGTTGAACTCGCTTGCCGTCGTGAAGAGGGGGACAAGCGCGTCGGTGAAGTCGTGAAACAGGTTTCCAGTGTATCCAGTCAGAGCAAAGACCACGACGGGCACATTGTGGTACTTGGTGCACTCAGGTGCCACCTTGCTTGATTTCACCGTCAGCTCTGTAACTTTGCTGAGGCAGAGCTCATCACCTTTACGAGGGTAGGGCTTAAGTTTCCATAGCTCGTTTCTCTTTGAGCTGGCAGGTTCCATGTACATCACCGAACTCGCGTTCGGGTGAATCCTGATGTTGCCCCGCATCTCGCAGACATTAGCTCTGAAGTTTGAGAAATCACAAAGCGGCTTGCTCTCCCATTCCGCGGTATCCCAATCTGCAAGATGCATGAAGGAGATAACTGAATCAGAGGAAATAGAAAAGAGTTGGACATATGCATATGCCAATATCTCATTGCAGATGTGCAAAGTGCACATCACGCTCAAGATGACTCAATAGAACAGTGTGCTCTGAATTATGAACAAAACCAGCAGATTCAGATGAACACATGATGAATTTGATCTCATGGCACATGTTTTCATTTTGTACTACCTTGTTGCTGAGATCCGTCGCCTTTGCCGGCGACCATCTCAAGCTTAGTTTCTGTTTCCGGTTTGCTACCTGCAGACACATCAGTAGAGTCAAGTCAGGACACCCACCAGAAGAGCAAGCAAGTACCATCACAGTCATTAACTAACAATTCTCAAATCAAACACCTAATTACCAACAGCTAGACCAAGAAACATGAGAAGTACTGCGAATCAGCTACCTTGCTGCTGCTTGGCATTGTCGCCGTCCTCGGCGTCACGGATGGTATAATTAGAGACGGTTGGGAGGGTGACCTTGCGATGCCCTTTCTTCTTCTCCCCTTCGCCTCCACTACTGCCTAAAAGATAGTAAAGTTCACGCATAAAGCAGGAAGTTGAGCATCGTTTCAGGGAGGCCAAATCCGTTGCAATCTGGAGCCCGTGGACGGGATCGCAAGGCAACAAGCTCGGTGGGCATCGGACAAAGAAATTATTGGGGGATTCGAGGGCTACCGCTCACCTAACAGCCGGGGTTCAGGCCCCTTTTTGGCGCTCTGCTGAGGATCGCGGACGGTGAGCGCGCTCTTCTCCTCCGAATCTTTGGGGGTCGCTGTCGCCATGGGACATCTCAGTCGAGAAATTCCAAGGTAAAATAGTACTGGTAGGGTAAGTAATTGAGGCTAGGCCCCAGGATTTGAGTTGGAGGTGGTGATTGGGTGGAACCTTTGGCGTTGGCGTTGGCGTTGGCCTCGGCGTCCTCGAAGTCGTCCAGCGGCTTGGGGTCCTGGGCGGCGGCGGTGGCGTCGGTGGCCTGGCGGATCAGGAGCGAGCGCGGCGCGTCGTCCACCGACAGCCGGCCGTTCACTGCGAATGAGGAGGGGGCAAGCGGGCGCTCCGGTCAGTTACCATTTTTACCAGCGAGCGAACGATTCTTGCTTGCGAGAAGAGAAGGAATAAAGGAACCGAAGAAGGGAAGAAAGAATCGTGGTTGCGGCGTGCGTACGGTTGAAGAGCAGGGCGTCGGGCTTGGAGAGGACGACGAAGGTGAGGGTGACGAGGAAGAAGCCGATGACGAGCACGAGCAGGCGCAGGCGCCGCGACTCCTGCCGCAGGCTCCGCACCAGCTTCGCCCGCTCCACCGCCTTCATCGCCGCCGCTCGATCCCTCCTTCCCCCCTCCTCCTCCTCTTCCTCCCCCCGAGCGCGCTCCTGGCGAGCTAGCTAGATGCGGGGCAGCGGAAGAGGGAGGCGGGCGGTCCTCCTCCGGCCCAGATCCGGCGGGGGAGCTGGCCGGATGCGTGGAGCTCGGTGGGGACGGACGGAACCGGGGAGGGAATGAACGGGCAGAGGCAGACACAGTGGGGAGGGGAGGCGTGAGTTAGGCTGCTCGCGCTCGTGCTCTGCTCTTGTGTTGCCGGGTGTGTGTAGAGGGGTGTGGGGTGTGGACGAGGGGAAGGAAGGAGCGCAGACCGCCGCTTTTGGTTTGGATCGGCAGCTTTCCTTTCCCGGGCGTGGTGGCACTTATCATTCCCGCATGTCCCTCCTTCTTTCCAGCCACCCGGCTTTCCTCCTCTCCTCTCCAAAAATTAAATAATTACTATATGCTACTACTACTAGAAAAACCACCGGCACCCCTCAAAAGAACAAGAAAAACACCGGCTCGTTTTTTTTGCAGGGTAAAAACACCGGCTTGTTAGAGCATCTCCAACACGCGCACTGTATTTTCTTTCAGCGCCGAAATAGCGTTTTGACGCACCGTGCTGGTGTTTTGCTTTATCAAAAACGCAAAAACACGACGCCTAATTCGGCGGCCCCTCCTGCAGCAGCTTAGATTTTATACTGCGCGCGAGCGGACGCACCAAATAAGCAGCGCTCAATGCCGTTTTTCTAGCACGCTGAACCTATTTTACCGTGTGCGGGATTTTAGCGCATGTGCTACAGTGCCGGTTTCGATCACGCACGCGTAATATAGTTGTTTTTTCCAGCACGCGACTAATCTAGCACGTCTGTTGGAGATGCTCTTCGAGCATCTACAGTCGGGCGCCTCAAATCCAACTCCTACGTCCGGGCAGACCGCCCTGTCATTGTACGGTCACGATTTTTTGACCCAGATGGGCCCCTCAAATGTCCAGACTGACCGACAACCCCATATCCAATCCAAATATGGAACGTCCGTCCCCACCCGATCCCACATAAAATCCTCCACATCCGCTCGTGGGACCAAACTCGGGCGCCGCAACCGTATCGTGGTGGACGTCAACGGCTCGTCCTTGGACGGATCCGTCATCGAGCTGACGTCCATCGGCACCATTTGGTTTCTGGGCTCCGGCGAGGAAGAGTAGGGCATGAACCGGCTTGTGTCCCATTGCCGTACTCTACCTTGCCGGCGATCGGACCAACACTCTGAGAAGCGCAGCCGGCCGAGCGGGGAGTGAAATCGGACGAGCTTCACTTAGATTAGGTTCCGCTTGAATATAATAATATGGATTTAAGGTTGCTAATTTGATATATTCAGATGTAGAATGCGTTTTCTGAGGGCTGATCGGTCATTGTCCGTGGTCGGATTTGTAAGTCGTCTTGTAGATGCTCTTAGACGGTGCGGCATCCAGCACACCGGCATGGCACACGCTACACGTTGCGGCCCCCAACGCGACGTCCCAGATCATCGCTTGGCTTCCCTTTCACTCCTGTTAGCATCTGCCGACGGGTCGGTCGACGGACGCCGCTCTGCGTGTGGCCGCGTGCCCGCCGGCCTCATCAATCTCAGTCCAAGTGGTGACGCTTGTTTGTCCGCGTGGTTGTTGCGGCCGCCGATCAGATCCGATCTCGTCTCCCTCCATTCCTTCGGCGCCGGTTGTCGGCTCGCCCCCGCCCCGCCCCGTGCGCGCGTCCATTTCGTCGCCTCCGCCCATCACGCCGCGCCTCCCTGGCCGGATGCGCGTCTCCGGCCCTGACTTTCCGATGTAGGTGGACTGCGGTGGAGCTGGTGCGTGTGCGGTGCAGCGAAAACCTCGTCGTGTCTGCGCTTCGCCGTGCCTTTGGGCTGGACCGCAGTACAACGGTTCACGTTGTTTTCTAGCACGAACTTTTCCCCGTTTTGGGAACGTGCTGCCGCCCGTGGGTCAGTTTCTTCAGCCCAAGCGCAACTTCTTAGAGCTAGGCGCTGCACAGTGTGGCGCCTAAGTGTTAGGCGTTGCACAGTAGAGTGCAGTGTCTTGCTGTCAGGCGCTGCACATTAAAGATCAGCCGGGTGAAATACTTTCAAGAACAGTTTAGTTTATGAAATAGTTTCGATTTAAGGTCAAACTTGTGCCTTTTGCCCCGGACGGGAGGGAGGGGGCCTCTGAGTTTCCTTCACGATAAGACCGTCGGTGATGTAACTGATTAGCATGTCGATCTACTCCTACTTTGGCTGCCGGCTCGGACCCCATTGATTGATCGATCATACTCTCATCGGAACGTGCCACCCAAGTCCAGGCGACAAACAGGGAGCGCTCCTCGCTGTTCGCTCACTCGCTGTCCCCTTTCGGGAATTCTGGCCACTAGTTCGGCACGAATTTGTCGTTCCGTATTACCGCGAAAAGGACCTGGTGACCCGACGCGCCACGGGTGATCGATCGACGCTGACATGCGTCCACACCGGTCAAATATGGCCTCGACAGCGACGGCACGCTGGTTGGTACACGGTGGTGGTCTGTTAAACAACGGATCTAGTAGCTCACCTTTGCGCGTCGGTGGCTTGGCCGTTTCCGGCGGAGCAGCTGGGCGCCGCCGGCCGAAACTCCGACGAACGGCGGTGACCCGCGTCTACGGCCGGCGGGGCGCGCTTTTCGGTTTGGTTGGTCCTGTCTCGCATAGAGAATGGTAACAAAGGGGAGACATCCTTCTGCGCGCGAGTGCATCGCGGCTCGCGAGAGATTAAACAACGGCGTCGGTGTCCTGGCGTTAACGGCGATGACTGGTTATTATAATTAACTTAGCAGAGGAGTATCTTTCTTGTAGGAGCATCTGATGATATCCAAGACAATTACCGGAACCAACGTAGATTAGTCCGAGAGCGTAAACATATTACTACTGCGCTGATCGCGTCGATCGGCGTATCATGCAGCATGTGCACCGCGAGAAAGAAAGGGCCGTGCACATGTGTGGCCACGTGTGCGTGTACGAGCTGCTGCTCCACAGAGGAATATATGCGAAATCAACTTGCTGTGCATGAAAAGTGCGAGGTTCACAAATAAGTGGCAGCGCCCTGGAAATGGCATCGAAGCGCAATCAACTTATCATTTGTGTGGGCGCATTAGTTGCACAACACTGTGCTGCTTTTATAATGGTCACAGTACATTCCCTCGAATTCATAGGTGAATGGCATTTAAGACATAAGTTTGAACAGTTTTTTTGGAACTTTGAATGTTGATATCGGTTGAATATTCTGATTGGAAATTTGAAAAGTCGTATGAATAATTTGTTTTCATATTTATTTTTTAGGGTATTTGTTATTTTGTTGGTTTTTATACATGGTTGAAAATGGTGGTCAAGTTACATCTAAAAGCCGTGGCAATATCTAAAATGTCACTTATTTATAAAATGGAAGGAGTATCGTTATAGTAATAAGAAAGGGCCGTAATGGTTGCTACCCCTCCAATACGCCAGACAAGGAAGGAAATAATCCGTAGTAAATGCATGAAGATGAGTAAAGGAAACCACAAATTAGAAGAAAATAAATAGTACTCCCTCCATTTTTTTACTCGCATATTAGGTTTGACTGAAGTCAAACTTTGTAAAGTTTGACCAAGTTTATAGAAAAAGATAAACATTTATCATAGTAAATCTATATGATATGAACTTTGTTATATCTTGATATTTTTGTTTATAAACTTTGTCAAAATTTACAAAGCTCGACTTTGATCAAATCTAATACGCGGACTAAATAAAAACGGAGGGAGTACATATTTAATGAGTGATAACAATTAAGGAAATAATAAAGGTAGTCAATGATATTTATTACTATATAACTTGTTTTCTTCTTATGGTTTTGATTTTTAAAGGAGTAAGAAGAAAATGGCACGTATTTAATGAGTGATGACAATTAAGGAAATAATAAAGGCGGTCAATGATATTTATTATATAACTTGTTTTCTTCTTATGGTTTTGATTTTTAAATAAGAAGAAAATGACACATATTTAATGAGTGATGATAAGTAGGGAAATAATAAAGGCGGCCAATGATATTATTAGGCTCCCCGTAAAGGCGGTCAATGATATCAAATACTAGTATCAGACATATAATACTAGTGTATAATATTAATTTAGTAATGCATAGTATCATAAGTTAGTATTTTAGATTTCCTTATTAATTGTCGTGCATGACACAAAATAGTAAAACGTTTAATATGGTTTGGTATCATGATACGATACCACATTCTCTCTTTCCTCATTTAATTGTGACACATCATCAAAAAAGTCTAGTTAGCATGCCTGATACCATTTATGATACTCCCATTACGACCAACCTTATATAACTTGTTTTCCCAACACGACTCCCGCGTCGTAGCTACCGATGGCCTAAGGCACCAACAATAGACAATGACCAGTACGACCGACGGTTCGAGCCTTGGCACCCTCTAGCTTGGTGGCCGTGGTTTTTCCCTCGACAAAATTTGTAATTGCACGAGCAAAAGAGGGGATTATCCTTTGGCTATTTTTTTACTGCATCTGTCCCTTAATGTTAGACGCTTTTGCGGTTTAAATTGAACTACAAAAACATCTTATATTAAAGGTCGAAGGGTGTATTTTAATCTTTTGATTGTATTACATTTGCCTGATAGTCGAACAAGTCCATATATCTCACATGTATAGCTATTAGTAACAAAAAACTGGTCGGGGCAATTGTCTGGGTGGAAAAAACTGGAAGCGCCTTATTTGTTGTATAAGTTCTAGCGAGGAAGAAAGTGATGATCTTGTGATGACCAGTGACGAGTGCCGAAAAGCGAAAATAAACAACGACAATGAAAGGAGCGGGACTTCAAGTTGTACATGAGCAATGGGTCGAGTATGCCATGAGAAATACGGAAAATGCCGGTCAGATCTGATCTCCGTTCGGCGTCGGTTGTTGGCTCGGCTCGTGCGTGTATGTACCCATTTCGTCGTGTTGGCCGATCGTTAGGTTTATCCTCAGGATCCAGTTTCCGACTCCTAATGTGGTGAGGCTGCTGATCAAGGCCCAGTTCTTTTGCCAGATTCTCTCAAAATCTAACCCCTATCCAGATTCTTTCAGAATCTTTAAGTCTTATTTGTTTTATAGTCTTATCTAGTTATGATCTAATTAATTAGGATTGTAAAACAAATAGGGATCAAATGTTTTAGGAGAAGCTAGAGAGGGGACTGGGCCCAAGTGTTATTGGACACGCGGCGTGTGGTTAGGCTGTAGCCGAATGGTATCCCAGTGTCACGACGAACGTGCTGTATGTGGCTGTGGATTAGTTTTACTTAGCTGGAGGGAGAAGGTTTCGTTGATAAGAAAACTGTCGGTGATATGTCGACCTACTTTTCTGAATGTGCCACCCAAGTCCAAGCAACAGGGACAGTGGCACCACGCATTCGGCTATCCACGCACTGTCCCCAGTTGGAAATTTAGGCCTCCGGTTCGGCACAAGTTTGTTAAAACTACGACAAAGACCTGCCAAGGGCGAGGGCCCAGGCGGTGGTAGATGCTCCACACCGGTCAAATATGAGCCTCAACAAAAGAAAAACGGGTCAAATATGGGCCAGACAAGAACAGCAAGGTTGGCGCAGACTTGAGAGCAGTGAGCACCAAGGCAGCAGTTCGTTAAACAACCAACAGCTAGCAAGATCCCCTATGCACGTGGGTGGTTTGGTGTTTGTGGCAAAGCTGGGGACCGTACGCTGCCCCATCAGTTAGATCAGTTAGATCAAGATATAACTATGATATGATACAATGATACCGGCTACTTGTTTGATCTCAACCATGCCATTATCAATGACTGGATTTGATCCTAACTGTGGCAGAGGCAGAGGGCTAGAGTTCCACCATCTTTCCATGGTCAAAGCAGCAAGGAGAGGCAGGAGAACTCACAACCTCGCTGACGGGGCGAGGGAGGAGTTAGTCGCCTTTGGAACCTTAGAAAGTAAGAGCATCTCCAGCCGTTGGCCTCCCCATGAGGCATAAAAATCACCGTCTGGGGGCAAGCCGGCGGTAGAATAGGCTCTGGGGGCGGTTCGGCATCCAGCCGTTGCCCCCATGCATCGATATCGGCACATTCCTGCCAGCCTTTCGGCCCACTTTCGGCGAAAATTGACCCGATATCGGCACGAATCGACCCATATTCAGCGTGGTTCAGCGTGGTTTTTGTGTCACATATTCATCACAACAAATCAATAAAAATCAAAATAGTTCAACAAATAAAATTTGGGCGGGAAATGGCCCGTCTAGCGGTGGTCGGCGCCGGGATCAGCCGGGTGGCGGCCGAGCGCGCGCGGGGGGTGGGGGGAGGCGAATCTGGACGATAGGCTTGACTTTTCGCCTGACGGTCTGGGCCAGGCGTACTTCTCCCTTGCGCCGGAGCCCCCCAAGCG